CTTCATAACTTCATTCCATTAGTAAGGCATTTGTTTTGTTTTGTTATTGAAGGTTAATTTTTTAACAAGTGTAAAAGTCGAATAAAACTCTGTGCAACGACTGACATAATTTTAAATATCATTTTATCCCTTAAGAACATCACTTTGACATAAGAGGAAAAAATTTCTTTATTTATCAGTGATTGTAATGAAAGAAAAAAATCGAAAATCGATTACTTCGGTTTTGAGAAAAGTCATTTTTTAGACGTAATTTTAATTTATTTAATATTTTCGCTTTATAAATGTTATTTTTTTATTACATATTTGAAATATTTAAGGAAAAACAAATTTTTTGTATATATATATTATGTTATTTTTTATCTTTTGTTATATAACAGAGAAAAGAATGTTTCAAAATTCATCTGCTTCTGAAGATGTTAAATTTAAAAAAATCACAACTTCTGTAATTTTGATCAAATAAAAAAATTAAAAAACAGGTATTTACTTATTTTTCATATAGAATTCGAAAAAAATTGTTTTAATTAAAAAAAATTTTGAGTTAAAATTTCACGGAGAATGCCTCGTATAGGTTTATAAGACAGGGAATTTCAAAAACCGTTTTCACCCGCCACCCTGTTAAAGGAGAAATTTAAAAATGAGGAACACTTAACCTATAATTTGTTATAAGTTTCCGTAATTCAAATATATCTGTATATGTCAGAATCATACGCACCTCTTTTGTGAGCGAACGAAACTAATATCAAATCTGGTTAAGAGGTTAGTGCGCTTAAGAAATTTTCGTCTACACGGAAAAAAAAGTACGTGAATCCTTCCTTGAAAGTGCTTGACTTTTGGATAGAACACAAAGTACAAGGCTGTATCATATACTTTTTATTAGAAAATATAGAAAAGTCCTAGAGTTATTTTAGTACTAGTATGGGCAACAGTGTTTTTTAAATTTTAACGAAAAGTCATTTGTTCAGTTTTATAAAGTACGTGAAAGATTAGTTGACTGCGCTTGAAAATTCTGTAGAGCATGCGCAGTGTGCGTTGCGCGTTTCTACCCAAGGTAAATGCCAGCTGATGATCGTCTGTTTCCATTTGTGTTAATTTCAGATGTGAATATACTATTATTTTATGAAAAACAAATAGTGTTAATATATATTTGTCTTCAAGAATTGACTTTCAAAAAAATATTTTTTGTTTTGTGTTTCTCACAAAACAGAATGTTATGTAAGTCTCAGTTTTCAGTGAAATAGCATGTCTCAGAAGTCGTGAAAAATTTCACCATGTGGTATATAAGAACAATTCGATACGTACTTTTAAGTGTTAAGTGTGTGTTTATATTTAAGTTATACGCGAATATATGTGTGTGTTATAGGTTAGTTCATAAGTGTTGACGAACGTCGAAAAGTGATACAATAATTGTTCTTTGTTTGTGTGATTAATTATCCAAATATGTGAATGAATGAGTGAATTTCAGAAAAACGGTGTGAACAAGTGGAAATTATTTTTTTTATTTTACAGTTTTTTTGAAAGTCAATGAAATTCTCAAGCAAGGTACTAGAAATTTTCATTGACTGCTTTTGAAACTCTCATGCAAAAGTACTAGACTGTTTTTAGTATTTTGTGTCGTATCCAAAAGTCAAGTACCGAGTCAATGAAAAATTCACGTACTTTTTTTTCCGTGTAGTTCTAATGGTTTGGTTGAAATACCCTAACTGTTGGGCTGTTTCTATTCCAGCAATACTATATGGGTAATATAACCTAAATTATGCCTGTACCTTCTATATTTTTCTTTCAGTGTGTTTAAAACAAACTATTTTACTTGCACACTGAGAGACCTTTGGGTCAGCAGCAGACTTTCGATAGACTGCTGCTGACCATTTTGGTGGAACGCTGCAGGACTAGTGATGCATAACGATACGAGATTTTCAATTATCTCACTTCATATTGATCGTTTTCAAAAAATGTTAAAATAGTAAATATCGTTCATTCATTTGTTTTCTTATATATCGTATTGTACTGAAATATCGATCGACATCAAACGATAATCTCGGTTTTTATTAGAAAATAAAAATTTATTCTACAATGACAGAAGAAAATTTAGACAATTCTACGAAAACAAGCTAGAGTCTTTAAATTAATCCTATTTTAAATAAACAGTTTTTTGAGTCTCCTGTAAAATTTCTCAACTAAAATTTCTCTACTAAAAAATGTTTTTTTTACAATTTCTTTGTAATTTAAGTTCATTACAAGAATATATGTCCTCTTCTTGTTTAATAAATAACTTTTAAATAGTTATAAACATTATTATAACATATTAAAATATGTCTTTGGTGGAGAGGAACAAAAGTTAACTATTTGTTAATTAATAATGTTTATAACAATATACACTACCGTCCGTGAGTATCAGGACGCCCCTTTTTTCATGAGTGGAAAAATGCTTAAAACGTAGAAAATAAGAATGTCAAAAATTTTTCGTATTTTTTTCCTGAAAGCTAATGAAATTATGAAAAGACTGACACTTGATCGAAGAATTTTCGTTGACTATTCTGTCAGATACAGAAAAAATACTGGATTTTGCATGCTTTTCGTAATTTTTTCATTTCTCGAAAACTAATTAACTTTTTTTAGCGTTCTTGGTCTTGTTTCAATCTCTATTCAATGTAGAATCTAAATTAATTAATGGTATTGTGATATAAATTTTTCCAAGAAAATTTGAAACTGTGAAAGTCGGATAAAAAAATTTTGAAAAACAGATTGACACTTTTTCAACAAAAAAATTTTTTTTAAATTAAATTATGAAGTAATTAAAAAGCTTTTTTGAATTTTATAATATCTATTGAATAAACATATTTTACATTTACCTTTTTGACACTTTATTATTCATGATAATTTTTTGAATTTTTTAAATCCTACTTTTAAGGTTTCAAATTTTTTTGGAAAAATTTATTTCACAATACCAGTTAATAATTTAGATTCTACATTAAATAGAGATTAAAACAAGACCAAGAGCGCTAATAAAAGTTAATTAGTTTTCGAGAAATTAAAAAATTACGAAAAGCATGCAAAATCCAGTATTTTTTCTGTATCTGACAGAATAGTCAACGAAAATTCATCGATCAGGTGTCAGTCTTTTTATAATTTCATTAGCTTTCAGGAAAAAAATACGAAAAATTTTTGTCATTCTTATTTTCTACGTTTTAAGCATTTTTCCTTTTATGAAAAAAGGGGCGTCCTGATACTCACGGACGGTAGTGTAAATAAGTTATTTTTTAAACAAGGAGAACATATATTCTTTAAACGAACGTAAATAAAAAATTAATCGTGGAAAAAAACATTTTTTAGTGGAGATGAATCGAAGTTAACGGTTTGTTAATTAATATTGTTTATAACAATTTAAATAAATTACTTTTTAAACAAAAAAGACATATTCTTAAATTGAATTTAAATAAATTGAAAAGAAAACGTGTAAATAAAACCTTTTTTAGTAAAGAAAAATCAAAGTTATCTATTTGTTAATTAATATTGTTTATAACAATTTAAATAAGTTACTTTTTAAACAAAAAGGACATACATTCTTGTAATGAAATGAAATTAAAAATAAAATGTGAAAAAACTTTTTTTAGTGGAACTGAATCAAAGTTATCTATTTGTTATTTAATATTGGTTATAACAATTTAAATAAATCATTTTATGTTTAATTAATTGTCAAAAACAGAATCTTAATCATTTTTAAATTCGTTTCTTTAAACAGTTTACGTAAAAGTAATTTTTAATTAAACTGATTGCACTTTTTTGCAATTTTCAAGGTTGGACAATCGTTTTTAACAAATGGATAATCAATTCTAAGAATTGGACAATCAAAAACAGAATCTTAATAATTTTTAAGTCAATTTTTCAAACAGTCTACGTGAAAGAAATGTTTCTTCAAACAGAATTCACTTTTTTGCAATTTTTAAGGTTGGAAAATCATTTTTAACAAATGGATAATCAATTCTAAGAATTAGACAATCAAAAACAGAATCTTAATAATTTTTAAGTCAATTTTTCAAACAGTCTACGTGAAAGAAATGTTTCTTCAAACAGAATTCACTTTTTTGCAATTTTTAAGGTTGGAAAATCATTTTTAACAAATGAACAGTCAATTCTAAGAATTGGACATTCAAAAACAGAATCTTAATCATTTTTTAAGTCAATTTTTCAAACAGTCAACAACAAGGAAACTTTCAATCAAACAGATTTCACTTTTTTGTAATTTTCAAGGTTGAACAATCGCTTTTAACAGATGGACAATCAATTTCTGGAGTTGGACAATCAAAAACAGAATCTTAATTATTTTGTAAGTCAATTTTTCAAACAGTGAATGTCAAGGAAACCTTTAATCGAACAGATTTCACTTTTTAGAAATTTTCAAGGTTGGACAATCGTTTTTTACAGATGGACAATCAATTCTAATAATTGGACAATCAAAAACAGAATCTTAATTATTTTGTAAGTCAATTTTTCAAACAGTGAATGTCAAGGAAACCTGTAATCAAACAGATTTTACTTTTTATCAATTTTCAAGGTTGGACAATCGTTTTTAACAGATGGACAATCAATTCTAACAATTGGACAATCGAAAACAGAATCTTAATCATTTTTTAATTTGTTTTTTAAAACAGTTTATGTGAAAGAAATCTTTCTTCAAACAGATTTCACTTTTTTGCATTTTTCAAGGTTGGACAATCGTTTTTAACAAATGGACAATCAATTCTAAGAATTGGACGATCAAAAACAAAATCTTAATTATTTTTTAAGTCAATTTTTTAAACAGTCTAAGACAAGGAAACCTTTAATCAAACACATTTAACTTTTTTGCAAATTTATAAGCCATTATATTGGAATTTATAAATAAATAAATATGTATAAATAAATAAATAATTCTCACAATTATATAATTTATTTCTTATAGAAGAAATACGAAGCAGTTCAAAGAGAGGCAAATGTACTAAGTGCTAAAGAATTGCTGATAACTTTAAATGAAACGAAACGTTTGAATTCAAGCATAACTAATTCTTTGAAAAAAGTGGATATAGCTATAAGGTTGACGAAAAATTTAACTTATTTGTTAGAAGAGCATAAACAAGTAAGGCTATAATTCTATAAAAAATGTTTATTTTTTCTTGAATATTTATAGCATATTGGTAGTAAAAAGTCAAATTAAGTTTCAACAAATAAAAAAATACAGTTGAGACATTAAATCAACATAAAAAAATTAGATTCATAAATAGAATTAAATTAATGTTTAAATTTTTAAAGTAACTACTCTAAAAATTATTTACAATATTTGTGGTCAATTTCATAAACCAAAGAATAAATAAAACATTTTTACGCCTTCAGGGTTGCCATGCAACCTGGAAACCTGGAAATGTCAGGGAATTTTGATTGGAATCCTGGAAAATTATTGTTTTCTAAAGTTATTTATTTTTATTTGCTTATTCTTGAAATATAATTTTTCTTTGATTCAATTTTTTTAATTCAATTTTAAAAGAGTTGCCTTTACAATTTTTCTTCGCAATAATTTAATTATTTTCATACATAATAAAAAACTATAGATTTACAATTTTTTTTTCTATTTTCATAAATAATAAAAATCATCGCAGAATTTCATATATTTTTAATACAATGTTAATGGAAAATGTCATCACAAGAATTCAATTACTTTCAAAAGTAATAAAATTTTTTGCAGAAATTCAATTATGGTCAAAAGTTTTAAAAAATTATCGTCAAAATTTCAATTATCTTTATAAATATTAAAATTTTTCTTCAAAATTCAATTTTTTTAAAAAAATTTTAATGAATTTCTTTATAACAAATCTAATTTTTTTTCAAAAATTCCCCTCCATTCAATGATTTTCAATATCTACTATTTTAATAAAATTTTCCACAAGAAATAAATTATTCTAAAAAATTGTTGATAAAATTCTAAGCAAAGATTTTATTATTTTTATAAATATCAAATATTTCACAACAATTTAATTATTTACAAATTTTTTATAAATTTCTTTGCAATAATTCTAATGTTTTTTCAAAATATTAAATTTATTTATTCAGAGATTCAATTATTTTTATAAATATATAATACAATTTTTTACAGGAATTCAATTATTATTTTCATAAATAATAAAACTCATTGCAGAATTTCAATTATTTTTTATACAATTTTAATCGAATTCCTCGAAAAATGTAATTATTCTTAAAATTTTATTAAAATTTGTTTATAAAATTCTTTTGTTGTCAAATTATAGGTCGTTTAATTTTTGCGTAGATTTTTTTGAGTGAGAAAGAATTGACAAAAATAAACCGATCAATATTTTCCTTCGCTGATCGAATACCCTCGAGATAGTATGTGTACGGGTGTGTGTGTACGCGAGCCGAGGAGGGAGCGTCGACCAACCAGAGCGCTCTACCCCCACTTGTATTATCCCCGCCCGACCGAGAGAGGGAGCTCGGGACCGCTGACTGTCGAGACACTATTCACCGAGCTACCGACCAAAGCACACCTTGCTCAGTACCGCACCACAACTCGGAAATTTTCTGTGATTAATGAAAATAAAAAATTCAGTGTTTTATAAATTGTAATTAATTTTTGTTGCGCGTGTTCCCTTAATTTAAATTCACTTTTATTTTTATCTTTGCAATAATTCCTTTCGGTGGAGAAAACCAAGCAATGTTTTAATTTTTCTTTTTATTGAGATTTGTCAAGATACCGCCACGGGTGTCTGACAAATCTTCGAGTTCCCGTCACTTCGTAATTTGCTTCAAAGAAATCGAAATTCGCTGATATCCTCGCTCTCACCACAAGTTTTCTCAAGATACCTTTTTGGGGATCTGAGGAAAACGAACTTCTTTTCCCTCCCTAATACCTCTCGATTTTTCTTTTTTATGATCGCTCCTTGGGATCAGAAAAAAAAATATCGAACAATTGTTTCTTTAAGATCCCATTATCAGGGATCTATACGTCTTCTAAGATTCCTTTCAGGGATCTGGAAAATTCCTGACCTCTTTTTCCCGACTTTTCCTATGATCCCTATACGGGATCAAGGAATTGTTCCATTCCTAATTATCGTTTCTCAGGACTCCTCCTAGGGATCCGAGGATACGGCTCTCCTTCGATCAATTTTTTATTGTCCGTTAATATTTTTCCTTTTACCATTTTTTTCTGTTACTGGGGATTTATCCTATTCTACTTCATTTGCATTCGAGGTCATCGTTGTGCCCGTTTGGTAGAGGGGTCGAGAGGAGTTCAAGGATAAGGGAAATTCGTTTGAGAAATTAAATCCAAATTTCTTTAACACTTTATGAGAATTCAATTTTGAGAAACATTCAATTATTTAATAAATTATTTATTTTTGTATTAAAGATAATTAGAAATTTAAAAAGAAATATTATTAAAAAATTCGTCTTAAGAATTTAATTATTTTCAAAAGTAATAAAATTCTTCGCAGAAATTCAATTAATATGATCAGAAGTTTAAAAAATGTATTGTTAAAATTTCAATTATTTTTAAAAATATTAAAATTTTTCTTCAAAATTCAATTATTTTTAATACAAAAATTATTTTAATCTTATTTCTCGAAAAATGAAATTATTCTTTAAAATTTTATTGAAATTCGTCAAAAGAATTTTAATACCTATTTAAAAATTTGTTGATAAAATTTTTTAAATGAGAGTTCAATTTTAAGAAACATTCAATTCTTCAATAAATTATTTTTTTTGTATTTAAATAATTAAATTGTCGTAGAATTTTTGAATAATAATTGATTCAAATATGAATTTCAGTTAAAACTTTAGATAATAATTGAGTTTTGAAAAAGTTTCAAATTATAATCTTTGAATGTTTGAATTTTTCATACTTTTAACTTAAAATTGTGTAGATTTAATTTTTTTGTAAAAGTTCAATTGAAGTTTTTTAAGTTATTTTAAGTTTTTATTTTCTAATATATGAAATGTTTCAAAAATTATTAATAATAATTAATTGAAAGAAGAATTTTAGTCTGGAAAACAATAATTGAATTGAAATGATGATAGAAATAGACTCCGAGTGATCGATTTCTTTATGTTTTATAACAATTTTTTTATAAGTTGTTTAATTTTAAAAAGGTTTGAATTAAAAATGTTGTAAAGTGTAAATGTAGTTTTAAAAACCTAGAAAAGTCAGGGAATTTGAAATGAGCAAAGGTGTGGCAACCCTGGTTTTTCACTTTAAATATTTATTTAATTAAAAGTCGACTATTTAAATAATTTTTTTATTAAATTATTTTTGTTATTTAATATTACTTACATAACGAATTTTTCAAATGACTAGGAATTAATTGATTTTGAGAAGAAGACTACGACACCAGACGTTGAGACAAATTTGCAATTGGAAAAAAGCAACAACTCTTCCAAATCCTGCAGTAGATTTCACTTCGAATCATCATCCGGGATCTTCAACTGCTAACCAAACTAGAGAAACTATTCTCACTTCGAATCATCATCCAGGACCTTCAACTGCTAGCCAAAATAGAGAAATTATTCTCACTTCGAGTCATTATCATTCAGGACCTTCAACTGCTAACCAAACGCCTTTTTCTAATCAAGAAATGAATTACACTAAAAATCAATCAATCGACCAAGGACTTCCTTCTACATCAGAAACTTTTTCTGTAAATCAAGGATTTTCTAATTCATCATCACCAGATTCAAATCAAATGTCTTCTGCCTTTAATCGAATTGCTGATTACATGAGCGATAGCGACTATGAAAATCAAGAATTTGATCCAATAATTGATCCAGAAAATCCAAATTTAACTGATGGAAAAGAATCAACTCCATCGCTTGATAACGATGTGGAAAACGAATTGTTTCAAGCAACAAAAAATACTCCGGAATCAAAAGTACAGCATAATTTAATAAGTAGATTTAATTACTGCTAAACATAGAATGATTTTTACCTTTTCATCTCTTTTTACTGCTTCAAATTCCATCAAACATTTTAACTTGATACATTGTTTACATTAACGTATTATATAACTATTAACTGGTTGCTATTACTATTATTAATATATTATTAAATAAAATGATTAAATAATAATTTAATATGCTTAAATATAATACGAATTTTAGGCAACTTAATTACTGTCAGAAAGTGGAATTTTCATTTTAAAGAAGGCATTAGATGATGTACTAAGAAAAGCCACCTCACAGACTACATTAGCACGCTTGTTATTGTGTTCCATTTTTAAAGAAGAGGCATTAAAAAATCATAGTCTTACGGGTAAAGGAAATACAGAAGAAAGACCAGGTTTACCAGCTGAAGCGATTAGTTGCATACTAAGTAAGTTTTCTATACAATCAACATTATTGCTGCTTGAATCTGGAAATTTGTTGACTCAATTACAATTAACTAATTTAACAATTTCAAATATTAATTAAATAATCATTATTCCAAATTCTATTGTATCAATTCAAAAATTATGAAATTTATTTAGTTGTTTAATTTTCGAAGTATTTTTATTAACATTTTATACTAAGATTAATTTATTATTTCAGAATATTCTAGACAGACAGCTAAACTCAAGAAAAAGGACGGTTGGAAGCTACACGATGACAGGCTAGTTAAAAGTAGCCTTAGAAGCAAATTATTTGAAATTCACCAGAAATTAAAATCAATAAGAAAATAATGAACTTGAAATTATTATATCACTGATTTATTTTATAAATAATGTTTACTAAAATGTTTCAATAAATAAATCAAAGTCTTGTTTGTCAAGCTATTTTAATTGCTTCGGAAATATTGTCCAGGTACTATTTGGATATCGAAAACTGAAAATAATTTTAATGATCAATAGTTCGAAATTTCAGTTTATTTTCTAAATTATAATCGAAAATTCAATAGCAAATAGTAAATCCAGGAATCGACTGCCTGGAAAATAATGATTGGTATTTTTAAATGTAATTTTCTCGAAAAATTTTATAAAACTTATCTGGATATTAGTAAGACCAAGAAACACTTCCTGGTGATATTGGCAAGTTAAAAAACCACTACCTAATGATTGACGTTCATTATTCTAGATTAATTTGCTCGGAAAAATTGACCAGAAATTATTTGCAATAAAACATCTTTCTGTTCACCGATTTTTAATATTCGTTGTTGATTTCATCGGGAAAATTAACCATAAATTACCTGATAACCGATAAGTCCAGAAACCATTACCTAGTATTCGATTTTCACAATTTCATGTTAATTTACTCTGAAAAATAGACCATATATTATTATCTAGGCGTTGGTAATTTCGAAATCAACTTCCTGGTGACCAGTGTTAGCTATATTTCAGTTTAATTACCTCTTAACAATTTTCTAGTCATTTTTTGAACACTAACGTTAGACTAACGTTAGGCTAACGTTAGTCTAACGTTAGTATTATTAGCTAACGTTATTATCATTAGCTAACGTTAGCTAACGTTAACTTTTCCACCTGGGTTAAAAAGTTTACAATTAAAATAATTCAATTTTCAAAACAAAAAAATTTTAATCTGTGATGTTTCATGATTACAAATATCTAAAATTCATTATAAAAAATGTTTAATTAAAAAAGTTATAAACTATCTCGCAAACTCTAATTGTTACGTAAAAACGGATATTATTTTTGAATTTAGATTAACATGAATATTTAGCATACATAATAATTACTTGTAAAGAATCTGAGTTCATGAAAAACAAATATAATGTTGAAATATAAATAAAAATTATGTTTAACATTAACAAAGAAATTTTCGTCCTTCAACTTAAAGACGGTCAGACCATAAACATCACCGATAGCGACCCTTTTGCAGGTAATTTTTCCCAGTACAATTTCTGTGCTGAAACGCAGCAAATTTTCACTGAAATAGCACTGAGCTCTCAATACTAATTCCCCAGTACAATTTCAGTCCATTCTTCCGGCAGGGCACATATAACTCACACACACATATATATTTCTCTGGACAGTTTTGTCGTCCTGTAAAACATTATATATTATATGTAGTATTTAATACTTGTTGCTGTTATAAAAAGATAATATTTATTTAATAGTAAGTATATTATTTAAAAATTATTGCATTTTTATTCGTGTTTCAATATATAAGCAACATGTGAAAATTGTTAGGTTATGTTATTGCAAACGTCACCGCTTTGTACGCGTTCCGTTCCTCGAAACCATCCAGAGAAATATATGTGTGTGTGAGTTATATGCACAGAAAAAATCTTGGGTGACGTGCAATCCCAATCGTCGGAAAGTGGGGGAACTATAGTTTGGATGTGCTACGTTCTCAATTCGGGAAATCTACGTTCCCATGTTGGTGGCGCTGAACACCCAAGATTTGAGACTCAAAACCTTGGGACTGCAATAGCCGCATCTTGGGCGTTCAGCACGCCCAAGTTGGAAATGCAGCTCCACCAAACTAAAGTCGTATCGCATTCGTACATTTTCGGTCTACTTGGAACGGCACGTCACCCAAGATTTTTTCCGTGTGTGCGTACACGCAAGTAAGATTGTGTTGTATAAAGTCCGCCTGAAAATCAGTCGGAGTTCGAGCGATTCTTATAAGAAGAATCTACACTCTAAAAAATTCCGTTGTTAATTTACAACGTCGGACGTTGGAAATAATTTGCTTCACGTCCAACGTAGTAAGTTTACAAGCTGCTAGTATGTATTAAAACATAACTTAAATGCAATTTTACAATCGCAGCGTGTTAAATTGCATTCAGATTATGTTTTAATACGTACTAGCAGCTTGTAAACTTACTACGTTGGACGTGAAGCAAATTATTTCCAACGTCCGACGTTGTAAATTAACAACGGAATTTTTTAGAGTGTAAATGTAAAATAAAACAGGGTGGCCACTTTTTTTGTAAAAAAAAATTCACGGTCATTTCCCGGTCCATTCCCGGTCATAAATTATTTTTCCCGGTCATAAATAATAACTCTGAAAATAAATTATTCCATGAAAGATTGAAAGAATTTCCTGATTTTTAGACAAAACTTTGACTTTTTCCCAAAACCTAAAAATATTTTAGTTTACTCTAAAAATAATTTTGAACTTAAATAGATTTTTTGAAATAAATATTTAATTATTATCCATTATTTTTCCATATAGAAGGTATTCAAATTTCAAAAAAAAATTCAAATTTCAAATCCTTTAAATTTGAATAATTTTTAAGAATTGCTACTGCAACTTATTAAAAATTATTTTCAAAATTTCAATTCAATTATATTCTAGAAATAACTAAAATATTTCTAAAATCCACTTGTTTACAAGACAATTTCATGAAATTTTGATTAATTTGAAAATTTTTCAATTAAATATTACATATTTAAAAACATAACTAATTTGAGAAAATGTGAATAAAAATATTTTTAAAGACTAAATTATTCAGAATTTTTAATTAAAATCTTTTAAAATTCAACTTTTCTAAAACTTCAATTTGAAATTTTTTAAAATTCAATCTATAATAATATTAGTATGATATTAATTTAACATTCAAAAAAATCGAAAAATTTGCTTATGAATAATTGTAAAAAAATTAATTGATATTAATGAAAAATACGGTTTTTTTAAATTTATTTTCTAAGAAAAGAAATTTTATTTATTTTTATTTATTTTATTTGTTATTCAAAAATTCATTTTTATAAATTTCGTATCACTTTTGTTCTAATTAGTTCAAATTTTTAATAATTCTTATTTGTTTTGTTATAATATTAATTGCAAAAAATTTTTAAATTGAGGCCTTGGATCCAATAACTCGCCCGACGCTCGGAGGAACGCGCAACTGCCAGTTAGTGAGCAGTGAGCGCCTCTGGGCCACTCACTGCTACCCGACTGGTATTAGCGCGTGCCTTCGAGCGTCGGGCGAGTTATTGGATCCAAGGCCTCAATTGATTTATTTTTCATTATTTTATAGGATGTGAAATTTTTTCTCTTTGAAATTTTTTTGACTTTAATTAAAATTATATTTTGTTTAATTATTGTTAGAAATAGAAAGAATTTAAAATTAAATTTAATATTTTCTTTTTTTAAGTCTGTTACGTTGGACAACAAAATTCATAATTTTCTTATAAATTCTAGAAATTGAATATTTTTATAGTACTTTTTATAAAATTCTTTGACAAAATATAAATAGATTTTATAGAAGATCATTCAATCTTTTTTAATGAAATATAATTAATACCTAAGTCTTAAAATAAATATTTCTATTTTTTCTCACACGTTGGACAACAAAATTCATAATTTTCTTATAAATTCTAGAAATTGAATATTTTTATAGTACTTTTTATAAAATTCTTTGACAAAATATAAATAGATTTTATAGAAGATCATTCAATCTTTTTTAATGAAATATAATTAATACCTAAGTCTTAAAATAAATATTTCTATTTTTTCTCACAAAGTAATGTGTGTTTTTAAAAAAAAAAATTCCAAAATCCCGGTCAAGATCAAAATTCACTGTCATTTCCCGGTTTTTCCCTGTCCAAAAAAATTCACTGTCATTTCCCGGTTTTCCCGGTCCAGCGGCCACCCTGAATAAAAGCATTATTAGAACTAATAATATTAGCCAGGTATATTAGTTATTTTAGCTATTTTGTTAGCTACACGGAGAGAAATCTGTTGCTATTATTGCTTGCAGAATCTTTACAAATTTTATTAGTCACTGCTGAATAGAATTTTAGCTTGAGGTTATAATAATTTATATACGAAATCATCTATTTAATGTAATGGAGAGTTCGATGCAATAAGGCTGCGTCTACAATAGGTGAGATGTGAGTAACAGAGCACGAGTGGCGTGGAGTGGCGTGTCGTGGACGTTCTGGTAATGCAGTACTACCAACTGCTAATGCCAAAAGAAAAAATTGAAAAGATTGTATAATGAATTTTCATCTTTTTTAATTTCAACAATGTAGTTATATTTTTTAAAGTAAACCAATTTTTTCAAGTCATTCGCTTTAATTTTGCTATTGATAAAAAATAATTCAATTATTTTAATTTTTATTAATTTCTGTTTTTTATAGTAATTTGAGTTAATCTAGATTCGAGAAAATTAAGTTTCCATAAACTAAATATTTTATTAACTTACATTTCGGAAAATTCTGCATTTGAATAAATGACATCTAGAAAATAATAATACTAGGGTAAATAATAATTTTACCTGTTTAATTTTCATCTTTTTTTATTAGGGTTAGACGGTCTTCTAATTATTCAACACTAGCAAAATCGTACGCGCGTGAATGATTTAAAGAATTATCACGGTAGTAATCTGTCTACCTACCTTCCACAGAAAAAGTTTAATAAATTTAATTTATATTGTTCCATGTTTATAATAGTTATGATTTTTTAAAAAATCTCGGTATTTAAACTAAATTATCATTTCAACGCCTCAGAAGCCATTTAAAAAAATTGCAAGAGGATCCAAGGCGGGGAAAGCAGTGATTTTTATTTTTTGTCACGGATTTTTCAGAAATCCTAGAATATAAAATAAATCATTATTAAAAAAATCAATATCACTGCTTTCCCCGCCTTCGATCCTCTTGCAAATTCGTTTAATGATTTCTAACATTAAAATAAATAATTAGCAAACGAAAAAAATTGCTTCCAAGGCGTGGAAATTATAATTTATAG